TATGAACTCCAAACTACTCATGGCCCAACACAGGTTTAACACTTTTGATGCAATCAAAACATTATCAGTGCATCAATGGGCTGCGACTTCTCTGTTGGAGAACACGGAATTCCCATCCTCCCCAATTACTTGCTTTAAAAGAACGTGTGAGTTTTCTGTATCTAGACCATACAGATCAATTTAATGCATCTTAGCTTGGCTGAGTAAAAATGCACAACTTTCTACATTTAATGCAGGAGAATGTGTCTCCTTTTCAACCAGTTCTCAATCCTCAAATAAAATCACAGAAGGTAAAGAATGAGATATCTTTTACTGACTCAATAAAATATGTAAGCTTTTGGGCCACATTCAAATGCATTTGTTAAACAAACAAAATACGACTACATTCTGATACCCTTTCTCTGGTTTAGTATTGTAGCACTTGACTTCAATGGAACCACTCACAAAGTAAGGTACTGTACCTTGTGAGTAAGGGTATCAGATTCTATCCACTAAATAAATACTGTAGCAACCACTACAGTAATTCGGGCCACAAAATCAGTGTGTTAGAGATTACATTTGTTTTGTAGTAGTGTTCTACTACAATTGTATGGAGAGCAGAGGGAAGGTTGATGGAGACAGAACTGGAGAATCAGAGAGAAGAGAGGTGAGACACAGGTACGTATGAAGGTGGGAGTGAGCAAGCAGAGGAAATAGTGAAGGGCTGAGAGAGAGGAAGGGAAAGAAAAAAGAGAATAAGAATAACATGGTTGGTTACCAAGAGACTGATGGAAATGGTTTCAAATGCAGGTACCTAAAGTTAAGCACCTCAAGGTTTGATCCAAACTCCCATTGACTTCTATGGTGCACGATCAGAGCCTCCATCCTTGTTAGTGCTGGCCAATGTTTGTCAAATTAGACAAAAATTTTCATTGATATTTCAAAAAGAAATAAAAACTAAAAAAAAGTTGACAAAAATGTTCACTAATATTTCTCTTGGTTTTTGACCAGCTGCAATATTTAGGCACTCAAATAAACAGGTCCTGATTTTCTGAGGAGCTATGTAGTCACAATTCTTATTGATGTCAGTAGGAACTGTGGGTGCTGAGCAGGTCTGAAAGTTAGGCCACCTAGTTAGGTACCTAAATATGAATTTAAGGCCTGGATCCACAAAGAGGCTCTGGTGTTGAAACACCTAACTTTTAGGCATGTAGAAAATTACAATGAAAAATAATGGGAACCACCAAAGCTTGAGTTAGGTGCCTTTATACAATGAATGGGGAGAAACAGGCACCTAAGAATGGGATGCATAAAAACCAGCTCAATAGGCAGGGCATCGTCTAAGTTAGCCAGTGGGAGATACCAATGAGAGAGGCATGTCTTAAACCCGACCTCTCTCAGGAAATTAGGCACCTCAATCCATGCTGCAGGGAGGCACTTGTCTCTCTTTGTGAGTCAAGATTGACTCTTGGAATGAGGCTGCCTAGGCACCTCAGTCATTTCTTGTCAGAAACACTGGAGAAGGAGGTACTGGCACTGCTTCCCTTATTGCCTGTTAGCCCAGCGGCTAGCAACACTCACCCAGAATCTGGGAGACTCAGGTTCAATTTCTCCCCCACTACCAGAGAGAAAGGGTTTGAACAGGGGTCTCCCACCTCCCAGGAAAGTGGTCGGGCTATTCTGACACAGTGGGGGGTGCTCCCTCAATCTCTCTTGTTCAAGCTGTTCTGCTTTGGATAAGTAATTAAATAGCCATTGGAACAGCAGGATTGGAGCCTGCGTCTACCCTGTGAGTGCTCTAACCGCTGGACTACAGAGTCATTCTCACTCTCTCCCCAGTCCAATAACTCTTTAATATTTATCCAAAGTAGAACAGTTTCTACCGGAGAGACTGAGGAAGACCACTTGCCCCCACATCAGAATACCCCATAGCCTGGTGGTTAGGGCACTCACCAGAGAGATGGGAGATCCCTCTTCAGTTTGTTTCTCCCCAACATACGGAGGAGGGAATTGAACTTGGGATCTCCCACATCCCAGGTAAGGACTTTAACCACTGGGCTAAAAGTTATAAGGTGGACACGTCCTCATCTCTGGTCTTGAATGGGGCTCCATGCAGGCCTACTAGATAGGGCCCTGCAGGATAGATAAGCAGGCAAATGCCTAGCTCCTGGTGGATTGCACTGTGTTTTAGGAAGGAGACTGGTGTTGGGATGCCTAGTGTGAGGCAGCAGTGCACATACCCAGAGGCAGAAACTTAGGCACCGAGGAAACTCTACAGTGAAAATTTAGGCATGTAGCAAGTTTAAGCACGTATAGGATTAGGCAGCAGCCTAGTGGGGTTTAGGTGCCTAAGTCCCTTTATGGATTGGGGCCCAACATTGGGGATCTACATTTGAAATTTTTTGCTTTGCCATTAATAGTTGTCTTGAAAATTTATTTGGTTGAAATAGTATATAGACACATATTTTCAATGCATGGCCTGTGTTTGTGTGCACTCAAAGTGTAGAAATTTTACACCTTGATCCTGCAGCTGACTGCCCATTGAAGTTAAAGTGGCTCTGCATGATCACAGTCAATTTGCAGGATCAGGGTCCTAATATGCAAAATCTATTCGCTTGACCACAAACAGATTTTGTGCATATAAATTCAATTATTTAAATACACAAATGCTAATACATTAAATGAGTGCAAACGACTTGTGAGAGCAAATATAGATGTGTACAAAGACAGGGCAAGTTGAGGCCCACTGCAAATTTAGCCCATCAAGTAGGTATGGTAAATAAAATCACTATTATGAAATGTGGCTTTTCGCTATACAATTTGAATACAATATTTGGAAGGTTGAGTGGCACACTGAATTGTTTCATTGTGAGGTTATCCTGATTTTTAGCAATTACTTCCCAGCAACACTAAAATAAGTGGCCCATATGCTATGAATTTATTTCTATTCATTGCAGATACCAGACAGATTACTATAGAAACTCCATTGCATTTTGCCTTTAGTTGAAAATTTGCTAATCAACATATGTTTGGAAGTAATACCTAGACAACTATTAGTGGAGTTAAAAAAAAGATATAATTTGTGTGTATTACATTCTGGAAAATACTGTAATTCCTGTATCCTGGAGACATGGTACCTTTTTTCAAGGCAAGAAATATTACATTTGGTTATACAGATGTGCTGTTACCAGTCATTAAAGGCTGTCTGAGTGTTCACTCTGCTGTTGGAGGTACTAGACCCTAAGGCTGTTCAGGATAAAGAAAGGCTTAGAGTGTTATTATAGTATGATCTTCCCGATAACTTCCCCCTGTAACTCAAGCCAATCTAATTCAATGATGTGAATATTTCTGTTAATGGCAATACGCAGCTCACACAATAGCCTTTCTTTTCATCTATGGCTGGCCCTAGAATGAGAAATGTAGACTGGAAGTATTTTAATTGTTATATTTTATTGTTCTGTGAGATGGACAAAATCCTGAATAAAAAGTCTGGTTCAAGACATGAATGCATAATAAAAATATAATAAATAAAAGTACTGCTTTGTATTTTCCTCCAGAGATCACCAAAGGCTTTACCCAAAGCCCATTGAAGTCCCACAATGAACCTTACAAAGAGGGTAGTAAGCATTATTGCCCATGCTTATAGATGGGAAAGTGAGGCAGAGAGGTTAAGTTACTTGCTCAGGATTACACAGTGAGTCAGTGGTTACATTCAGGCCTAGAATTTGGGTCCCCTGGCTTGCAGGACTCTGCTCTAACCACTAGGCATCCTGTATTGAAAGCAATCTCCATCCTTAAGGCAGTGAGTTCATCACGGGGACCTCTAGTAAACATTACAGCATAATCACTTCATATTTTGCTAAATTCACATTTGAGATTCACACTGATTTTTTCTAAGGTGTCCCATGTGTCCTTTCCAGTAGAGTGGTGGGATTCCTTCAGCCCCAGAGGGGGGCGGGACAGCAAGTATGACACGTACATGGATGTCCTGTAACAATCTGTTAATAATGTATGTGGACTGGCTTTGGCATGGTTTTTTTCTGAATATCTTTGATTAAAATACTTCCCAATAGGGGGACCATCTGGGTGGGTCAGATGGGAAGGAGAAAATAGCTCAAGATCCATTTCTACTTCCTCTGATCAGCTTCCACTTAAGGATGGAAAGAGAAAATGCCAGAACTATTAGCTCTGATGACTCAGTTCAGTCCCCAGACAGCCTATGGAACTAATTTGACCAGGAGGTGCCAAAGTCCACCAAAAACTGATGAACCCTCCTGGAGCATTAAGAACACTGGCAGGGTTTAAAAGGACATTTTCTCCAGGTTGTAGGGGGCAGGGGGAACCTGACTGAGACACAGGCAACATGGGAATCTGTGGGGGTGTTGCTAAGCCTGGCCTAGGTTGCCATTATTCGTAGAGGCTCTCTCTTGCTTTAACCTCCTTTTTTCCTCTAATGTTTTGTTCTGACTGCTAAATAAGAATATTTTGTTTTAAGAAAGTTATCAGCATTATAATACTGATTACAGGTCCCAGAAGGGAGGAAACTCATGTGCCCAAAACCAAGTTAGTCCTGCAGAGTGTTAAGTGACTAATATAGGTGGAGCAGCCTGACCTTGGTCCCGGTCAAAGAGCGGGAGAATTGCGATATTCCACACAGAAAAAGGTAAAAGCAAGAGGCCTAAGATCCAAAGGGGTGCACTCAGTGAGACCAGAAAGGGGACAAGCTAACCTTAATACCATGGCTACAGGGTTAAAAATAAGAAAGTCACAGAACCCTTGAGTCTTGTGATGAACTCAAAGCTGACTTCCTTCAGAGATGCTGTATCGGGTATTCTGTCTTATGTTTCCTTACAGATGCTTCAATTTATTCAGCTCACCTGATTTTCCATTAATCTGTGACTATATTGTCCCCACTCTTTCCCCAACCCCATTTATATATAATTGGCTTCTTATGGTTCTAATTCATCTTGCTTACTCTTTGCACTCACGTTAAAGTGTGCTAATGTCACAGTTATATTTACCTGCATGAAGCGGCCCTCAGACGTTCCCAGATTAGCAACAGTAAGATTCCCTTTGGTGAAGACAGATATTGAAGTTAGCAGGACACTGTTGAATCGCCCCATAAACAAGTCAACCCGTTGCAAAGGAGTTGTAACCTCTAGACGATATTCATCATCTTGTGCTCCACAGTACGATGCATTTCTTGAAAATGTCTGTCAGAAAATAAAGTTGATGTGAATAGTGTCTCTTCAGCAGGGCACAGGCAGGAAAAGCTCTTTGTCAGAAGAAAGTCATTTGGTAAGTGGACACAAATGCATTTCATCAGAAGTACTTAGAGGTTTCAAACTGTAATTGTTTCACCAGTTATCACGTTCCACGGGGAAGATAATGATTTCTTTACATTATGGGAATATTTCCCATTTGTTTTAATATGTTTTGTCTGGATGCCCAGAAGATAATGATGGTTTTTCTATTCAACAAGTAGATATTATGTAAGCATTTACATTAAGATATAGTACAGTATACGTAATATATTTTACAGTGCTTTTCATCTGAAGGTCTCAAAAATGCTTTAAACTTAGAGCTGCCCAAATATAGTATATTTTGCAAAAATATACAGAAAAAATTGGGAAAGAATGTTCACAGCATTTTGAAATTTTCAACCCCCTCCCCCTGATTTTTCCTTCTCTCCCTCCCCATTTTTATCCTTCCCCCCTTTTCAGTGACAAAAAGTAAAAAAAAAAAAAAAAAAGGGGGGGGAAGAAGGGCAAGAGAGGAAGTGAGGGAGATAAAATGGGTAAAATCTATGTCCTGATTCTGATTAAAAATAAAACCAGGTCAATATAATTACTTAGGCTGAGATTATTTTGATCATCTACTGCTCATATATTATTCTTTTCAATCTCTTTTTATATTTATCATGAACATTATTAGAATAGGTTTCAGAGTAGCAGCCGTGTTAGTCTGTATTCGCAAAAAGAAAAGGAGTCCTTTTCTTTTTATTATTAGAATAGATGCTGCATTTGCAGAGCTTTTAAAAAATTCTCTTCTGATTATTAATGGAGAATACATGGATTTTTCTTTTCATTGGAAAAATTTCTTGAACAATATACTTCAGGTTAATCTTTAGAAAAGCAGATAACTACGCTGTACTGACAATTCAATAGTAATCTATTAACTGATAATTCCATTACTATTGATGCTTCATCTTCCATTTTGGTGAAATAATATAGATAATAAACAGGGATCCCTTAAAAGATCTATAACCACTTTAAAATTGGAAATAGTCTAGCTATGTTTCTACTGGAACATGTTCTATGACTACATGTACAAAGAAAGCAAAATATCATGGATCTTTCTTTTGAAACCAGTACTGAGCTTGTGTTTTTTTCTTTCAATTTTTATTTATCGATTTTTTAAAAAAAGGAATTTTTGGTGGGGGATATTAAAGTTTGATCCATAACTCTTTGACTTCAATGGCGGTATTTCCATTTACTTCAGTGAAGTCTGGATCAGGCCCTTATCAGCAAGCCAGAATAAGCTTTTACTACATAACTATTACATAACTGTTACATAGTTATTCTAATTCTCCCGCTGCAGATGATTTACCTTATATTACTTATGAACAGAATATTATCAAAGAGAAGGCAACCAAATATGCAAATAAATTAGTTCCTTGAGGCTTGTTAGTGCTGGATAAATGGCCAAAGACATTTAAGGCCCTTTTCCAACCTACCCAATGGTTTTATGAATTGTAGTGTTTATGAAAAGACCCTCATTGGCAGCACTAGAAAGTTAAGACTCTCTTAATCCTCGGAACAATTCTAGCATAAACTGTAGCAGTGCCAGCTTCCCCATGCTGCCCAATCAATGTGTTTTAACTGTGACCTGAAGAAACAATCACATACATGGATGATGGAAGGTAGTTCATGCATGTAGCACTGTATGCATCTGTCATAAATATAAAGGGAAGGGTAAACCCCTTTGAAATCCCTCCTGGCCAGGGGAAAGCTCCTCTCACCTGTAAAGGGTTAAGAAGCTAAAGGTAACCTCGCTGGCACCTGACCAAAATGACCAATGAGGAGACAAGATACTTTCAAAAGCTGGGAGGAGGGAGAGGAACAAAGGGTCTGTCTGTGTGCTGCTCTTGCCAGAGACAGAACAGGAATGGAGTCTTAGAACTTTTAGTAAGTAATCTAGCTAGGTATGTGTTAGATTATGATTTCTTTAAATGGCTGAGAAAAGAATTGTGCTGAATAGAATAACTATTTCTGTCTGTGTATCTTTTTTGTAACTTAAGGTTTTGCCTAGAGGGGTTCTCTATGTTTTTGAATCTAATTACCCTGTAAGATATCTACCATCCTGATTTTACAGGGGGGGATTTCTTTATTTCTATTTACTGCTATTTTTATTAAAAGTCTTCTTGTAAAACACTGAATGCTTTTTCATTGTTCTCAGATCCAAGGGTTTGGGTCTGTGGTCACCTATGCAAACTGGTGAGGCTTTTTATCCAACATTTCCCAGGAAAGGGGGGGTGCAAGTGTTGGGAGGATTGTTCATTGTTCTTCAGATCCAAGGGTCTGGGTCTGTAGTCACCTAGGCAAATTGGTGAGGCTTTTACCAAACCTTGTCCAGGAAGTGGGGTGCAAGGTTTTGGGTAGTATTTTGGGGGGAAAGACGCGTCCAAACAGCTCTTCCCCAGTAACCAGTATTAGTTTGGTGGTGGTAGCGGCCATTCCAAGGATAACGGGTGTAATATTTTGTACCTTGGGGAAGTTTTGACCTAAGCTGGTAAAGATAAGCTTAGGGGGTTTTTTCATGCAGGTCCCCACATCTGTACCCTAGAGTTCAGAGTGGGGGAGGAACCTTGACATGGTGGCACAGTGGTGGGATTAACCTGAAATCATTTGAGATCCAGTTGAGATTTTTTGAACTAGAAATACAGATTTTAAAAAGGAAATTTTTTTTTCTTTGGAAAGAAAGTCCAGAAAGCAGCTTTGAAACTGAAAGCAGCTTGGTTTCTCTCTACTTTGTGGCCAAGCAGAGACAAAAGGGGATTATCTTGTGAATTGCAGGTTTTCTTTGCCTGGAGGCAGGGTACTTAACTCCAGCAGGGAAATTCACAGTCTTCCAACCCAGGGGTTTTTTTTTTCTTTTCTTCCTAAAAGTAAATAGGGGGTGTGTGTTCTACCCATTTGCTTTTTCTTTGGGCTGGGTAAGCAGGTTTCCAAGTAGTTGGAGGTTTTTTTGCTTTAATTTGGGCCCAGAGCAGAGACAAGGGAATTGTCTTTTTCTGTAGGCTGACAATCACTATCAGAGAATAGGTATTCTATTCCAGCACAGCAAAATTTTACAGCCAAGTTTTGTTTGTTTATTTCTAAACCTCGGGTGTAAAGTTAGTAAAAACAGAGAGGTTAGAATGGCAAAATCCGCGGCTCGACTACAGCTCGAATTAGCCAAATTTCAGGCTGAGGAAAGACAAAGGGAACATGAAAGACAGATAGAACTCATGCAGCTGAAGAAGGAACAAGAAATGGAGGCAAGGAAGCATGTGGAGGAGGAGAGGGAAAAAGAGAGGAAGCATGTGGAGGAGATGGAGAGGATAAAGGCCCAGCAGAATATACCAACAAACCCTAGCAATCCTTCTCCAGGTACCACTTCCCATCCCAGAAAGTTCCCCACCTACAAGGCAGGTGATGATACTGAGGCCTTCTTAGAAAACTTCGAAAGGGCCTGCCTTGGGTACAACATCTCTGCTGACCAATACATGGTAGAGCTGAGGCCGCAGCTCAGTGGACCCTTAGCTGAGGTGGCAGCTGAAATGCCTAAAGAACACATGAACAAGTATGAACTGTTTAAATCCAAGGCGAGAGTCAGAATGGGGATAACACCCGAGCAGTCTCGTCGGAGGTTCAGAGCCCTAAGGTGGAAACCAGACATGTCATTTACCCGACATGCCTACCACATTGTGAAACATTGGGATGCCTGGATATCAGGAGCAAGTGTTGAATCTCCAGTAAATTTGCCCTTCCTAATGCAAATGGAACAATTCTTAGAGGGTGTTCCTGAGGAAATAGAAAGATACATCCTAGATGGGAAACCCAAAACTGTAATTGAGGCAGGAGAGATTGGAGCCAGATGGGTGGAGGTGGCAGAGAAGAAGAAAACTGGTCGCAGTTGGAGCGGAGACCAGAAGGGACCACCCCAGACCACACCTTATTACCGGGGGGCCGCCCAAAGCCCCACCTACCTCCCAAAGAACCCTCCAGACCCCTTATCGTCCCACCACCCCGTTCTCCAGCAACCCTCCTCGCCCCAGTGACCCGTCAGCTGGACGATGTTTTAAATGTAACGAGCTGGGGCATGTAAAGGCCAACTGCCCCAAGAACCCCAACAGATTACAGTTCATTGCACCGGAATCACACCAGAGGTCCACAGGCCCAGATACCTCCCAGATACCCTTGGAGCGGAGGGAAACTGTGAGTGTGGGCGGGAAGAAGGTCACCGCGTGGAGGGACACCGGAGCACAAGTGTCAGCTATCCATGCTTCCTTAGTGGACCCCAATTTAATCAACCCAGAGATCCAAGTGACGATTCAACCCTTCAAGTCCAACTCTTTCAATTTGCCTACAGCCAAGTTGCCTGTCCAGTACAAGGGCTGGTCAGGAATGTGGACTTTTGCAGTCTATGATGATTATCCCATCCCCATGCTGTTGGGGGAAGACTTGGCCAATCATGTGAAGCAGGCCAAGAGGGTGGGAATGGTCACCCGCAGCCAGGCTAAACAAGCCGTGAGGCCTAGCTCTGTTCCGGAAACTTCTATCAGGACCCAGTCAGAGGTGATGGACCTGGACCCCAGGACAATGTCTGCAACAGCAGTAGTGGATCCAGTCCCAGAGACCCAGACGGAACCAGTCCCAGAACCGGAACCAGCCGAACAACCAACACCAGACCCCGTGTCAGCACTGAATCCAGTACTTGCAACCTCAACACCAGAGGGCCCCACCGACCCTGAACTGGCAGCAGCCGATAACCCGACCCAAGAGGCTCAGCCGGAGCCTGAATCCCAACATAGTGCACCAGCGGAGAGCGGTTCACAGTCAACAGAAACAGCTCCATCCCCTATATCGCTTCCAGAGGGACCAAGCCTAGGTCCACAATCCCATGAGGAACTGATGTCTCCAGCAGCAAGGGAACAGTTCCAGACCGAACA